TTTTTTTTTTTNTTTTTTTTTTTTTTACGAAAAGCTGTTACGAACTTCAATATTGTTCATGTATATATGTAAATATCACTGACCGTCACCCGCTGCTATTGGTAAATGTTGCGCTATTGCTAGTGTATATGCTTTTGATAGAATTGGAACCCGAATAACATCTTTATGCTTGCTTGCGGTACGATTATGTTTATTGCTAACTTGGATGCTTTCTTTCATCCTCATATCAACCAAACCCGCATTGAAGACCAAGAAGAAGCCTTCATTGCTTAAAGTGTGTCAGCTTCAACCAAAAGGAAACTCGAGCATTGATCAAAAGTAACGCTTCCATCAAAAAAGGCTGGTAATTTTGAGAAATCCCCGAGAAGGTTTCCGTCTGTATAAACCCTCAGGGAAACCAAAAGTATACCATTTTCCTCAATTACACGAAATCCAAATACATGTGAACAAATAAACAAACAGAGAAGTAACTCTAATTGAACAACCTATCGTTCATTATCGATCTTTGAATTTACATTTCCCATTTCCTATTTGTTTGTTTGTTTGTTTATAATATAGGATCAGTATTTGTCTATAAATAGACCGACCACGCTTCATGTATCCATTTAGTAAGAAATTATTATTGTCGAAATTTTTTTCTTCTGTATTTGTATTTTGTATCCCTTCAATCGGTGAACATCTCTACCTTGTCTCCTTGAATCATTTCATTCATAAACTATCTTTTGTCTCTTTCAAAATGATGCTATCAAAGCTGGTATTATTCGCTTTTGTCACCTACTCTATGGCTATACAAATTACAAATCCTACAACATTTGAACAGTGGAAAACTGGCGAGGATCACACGATTACCTGGAATTTTGTCAATACAGACAAGGATATTGTGGGAATATATTTAAGCAACTATTTCAGGTATCCTCCCTTTACCAAGTTCCTTGCGACGGTTTCTGTATCGGATGGCAGCTATACCACTGATACTACCAATTGGCCAACTGGTGGAGGCTATCGCATCAACATAGGCAACCCCAAGCATGATGAGGAAATATATGCTCAATCAGAGGAATTCATTCTTACAGCTCCAGGAGCCTAAAGCAGTAATCCAGCTCTCATCTGTTACATTATTCGAACGCAGCTTCTTTTATAGAAAGCTCTACTAACCGTCTCTCATCTCTAGCGGACATACTTATGAAACGAGTAGATCTTAGTGAGTAACTTGGCAATAATAATATTTATTTGTTTTCCAGAAAATAGTTTAGCAAAGTTCAAGGCCATTGAACCGTAGGTTTTTTATGTGAAATAATTATAAAAAATTTACAAAAAGATGCTCTTGGTTTTTGTCCTTACTAAGAACTGACAGTGAGGGTATTGCGTTTTTCCTCAGAGGATTGGAATACAATCTTTCACTCGTAACGTTATTATGAAAATTACAGAAATTGATTGAAAAATTAGATATAATGGATATAAAATGCTTCAATCGATGCAAATAATGATTGGATGCAAATGTAAAAATTAGCTAATGGTCGAAGTTATCGAGTTGAATCGATAACACAGACGTTGTGCAAAAGGGTATGAAACGAAATTCGAAAAGTTCAAAAAGAACGGCATTTAAGGAAAGGCAGCCAAAGGATAAATACCAACGCAGTCAGCATTGCCATTACCCTTTCCGTAGTAGATTTGATAAACATCGTTGGTATTGGGAACAGGGCATGCGACAGGGTAATCATTGTTCAAGCTGAGTTCATAAAATTGGGAATTTTCTTTCTTAGCTTCGAAACCTGACACAGGAGATCCAGAGGATTCGAAAACAAGGGCGCCATCCTTGTCAATAGAAGCAGCCTTGTTTTCATGGAACAGCTCTCCATTTTTGAGATTAAAATAGGGATTACCGTCAGAATTGTCATATGTACTCAAGTAGACATGACCAGATTGACCAACTTCGAATGTGCGTAGGTGAACATGAATGTTACCAGAGTGACTACTCACGATACCAAATTGTTTGTCAAGAGACGATGTTGAAGCTGGAGCAGCCAACGTAGAGGTGGCTCCAAGAAGAGTAAGGAAGACAGCAGACAAGGAAAACTTCATTTTGATAGTAGTTTGAAATGAAAAAAAAAAGATATGTTGTTCAAAACTGAATTAAATATGATAAGATAAAATGCAAAAACGAGTCGAGTAAAAGGATGGATTCTTTTTCGATGATATCTGACAAGTTGGAAGGAAATCTCGAGCTTTATATATCAATTGTAGCAAGAAACAGTTCGTCATAAAAGCTAAGAGGAAATTGTACAAATCATACCACCACAGAACTACGAACAACTTAACGGACGTAAACAACGAACCAGAACTGACTTGCCAACTTACATTGAATTAACCCGAGTCTTAAAGTCCGACATTAAAGTCGGAGCTAGGAGAAACAAGCGACGATGGTGGTAACAAACTTTATCATGTGCTGAGTCAAAAGTTTTTCGGTTGCTATACCCCGCAGCCTTTTACAAAACGAGCCAACGAGCGTGTGGCACGAAGCTAAATACATGCGATTGATAATTCATGTTGTCACATATGTCATGTCGTTGTCGGCCACGTGTTCATCTTTATTATGTTAGCTGGTGGAGATAATTTATCATGTTAACAAGTAAACAAAGGATGAAAACATGATGCAGAATGAAATGGGGACCAAAATGATAGAACAAAGAAAATGATTACGTTGACTGCCATAGAAAAAAAAGTTGTGTAAACCAGTGTCTACAGTCGAAATCTACAGACTGGAAGAATCGACGGGTCAGCCCGTTATTACTATTCATTTACGTAGCTCCAGGTAATCCAATTGAGGTTGTTTATTACATTAGAAACCAATATTATACGGCGCTTGATTTCTGTTGTAGTTTTCTTGTTCTTTAACAAATAAAAACCAAAACTTGCATCAGCCGGGAGTCGAACCCGGAGCGAATGCTTGGAAGGCATCCATGTTACCGCTACACCACTGATGCGGCATATTTAAACTCACGGCTTCATTTCCATACATTCTTTCAAACTATATCTTTTAAAGAGTTTTGTAGCTTTTATTCATTGTATCTTCTGGGTTGTTCAAGGCGGTCAATAAATGATGAACTAGGCTGAAATCAATCGCTGTCTGCGTACGCGGATGCCTACGTATGATTATTTGAGCAATCACAAACGACATCTACAAATTTCGTTCTGAATTTATCGATAAAAAATGAAAAAAGAAATTATACTTGGCCAAATTTGAGTTCGTCGTTTAACTTTCTCGTCCTCACAAATCCCCAAGGGTCTTATGCTTTTCTGACATGAAAGAACTAACTTTTTCGCTATTCATAGCATTGACCAAATAATGACAAGTTGAAAAAATTATGTGTTGGGCTGTTCTGGGAATCGAACCCAGGACCACCATCACCCTAAGATGGTATCATACCACTAGACCAAACGGCCAAACCGGGAATTTAAGGTGCCATGCATATATATTCAATATTAGTCATTTCAAAAACACTCTAAGGTAACCGTTTGATACTATAATCCTTTATCAAAGAGTCACTTAACATAATCTCTTTTTTTTGTCTACCATCATACGTAAGACGTTACTGCAAACTTCACATTCCTTTGTACAGTGAGCACGCTGTTATTGTTCACCGTTTGCTATGATGAACGATATGGCTCCTCCAAAAATTGGTTGTTACCGAAGAAGTAACAAATGCAAAACGTTTGGTAGGAAGAAACTAATTATGGAATCCCAAGTCCTGACTATCTGCTTTTACCCTTTTCTTTTCTGTTTGTCACGTTTTTAAGAATAAATCATATAAAACAGTGCATGAAAACAAATAAATGCAGATGCTTTATATGGGTATGACTTGGCGTGTATATTCTGTATTTGTTGAACGCACGAAAAGGATGAACAAGACATACAATTTCATTATAATCTAATTTGTCTATCGAAGGGATCGTAAAACTCCTACCTGACCGCAAGCACATCACAAGTACCACTCAAAACATTAGAAGCAGCACGACCTGTGAGAATCCTATGAATGTGTTTGCTGAAAAGATTACAATTTACAATGCCATCTGGCTTATATCCTTCGAAATCTTTTGCAACCTTCTCAACGACAATGACTCTATTTTAACTCCAGCTACTAGTTCCCTCTTTATCACCGAAAACTCAACATAATCAAACCAAAAGCTAAGCAAATGTACAGCAATCTACTTGCTTTGTTAGTTGAGGTTAAAGATGGTACCAACTCAGTTTGGTTCACAACCCGTTTATTAGAAATCGGTCTTAAGTTTGGCGGGATAAAAGACATATTTGTGTGTCTTGCAGTGTTTTCTTGTTGTTTTTCAAAATAGTCCATAAATTCTCCTTTATGTTTGAAATGTTTGTCTTTGCCCCAATGATATGTAAAACCAGAACTATTTTTTTCTGGGGTTATTTCCGTTCTCAAGTAATCAAACATACAAGTTTGATTCCCATCACAGGGATACAAGTAGCTTTCGTATCCTACATAAGATTCATTTTTATTATCTTTCACACTTGAATTCAAATAACCATATGTCAAGTTTGGGGTTATTATATAGTAAGTTTGGGTCGACAAGGCTGATAATGAATTGTTGATTACATGGGATGAATCGTTCATGAGAATATTGACTTTGTTTATGCTTTTTGACAAGCTGAAGCATGTTGGTGAATCTCCAGAGTAGCAAGTAGGCTCGTCGTCTCCTACGTACATACACGTCACGCTGGTATTATCTGCGGGAACAGTCAAAATCGAGCTAACATTTTCCATATACGAGTTAATTCCTTGTCCGTCAACAGGAGGAGGATTTTGAATAAAAGAAAGGTTTCCAATGCAGTTTAAGTCATATGGAAAAGCTTGGATATAAAATGGGTAGTTAGCAATTGTCGCACTTGCATTGGTATTATTTTCTAAAGACAAAGGATCATAAGCGATCCATGCCCGCGCGAGTGAAAAGCAGAGTGCGAGGGTTAGTATGCAGATAGAATACTGCATTTTTTAGAAAAAGTAGCGATGCAAACGGTAGTCGTAGAAAAAAAGATGAAAAGATTTATCCTTCCTTTTCGTTTACAATGATACAATGAAACAATAATGGTTTATTTCGTTTCGCTATCGCTTTGCACTTTTTGAAATTAAAATTACGGGTGAACCGAAACGCATACCATACCATCCAAATTTTTTGTCCACTTCGCATTTAGTAGTCACGCTGGGTTGGCTAAAAGTTTCACTTTGGCAATTGGAAAGTACTTGCTCTATTTCACTTATTTCAGCTATTTTATGATTATGTTTTAACAATTATTTGAATTTCTTGTTCTCTGCTTCGTCTTCTAGAGTCCATTATGTAAAGACCTATATAAGTTAGTATTTCAAGCATAAAACACAAAAGCATTCTGCACAAGGTTTCGTATGTTTCGAACGAGCCAAGCAAGAACTCGCTTGTGTTTTCTTTGATGGAAATATTCACTGAGTTGAGTTGAGTTGGGTTGGGTTGTTTCAACGGATCCGCATTTCATCTTTGTAATGCGAATCTGTTGAAATTATAAAAAAAAATTTTAAAAGAATCATATTTAGTTTAATTCAATTCAAAGAAAGAACGAGGTTGCGTAAACGATGACTCTTGTGATCTTTTTCTTTTCTATCAATTTTTGTTTACGATTTTTCAAGTAAAAATATTTTCGTGTAGAAACTAAGAACAATTTACAAACAAAACAAAGTCTCATATAGCGTCCTGAAGCAATTTCGAGAATGCACAGCAAGTTCATTCGAGCTGAATTGAACCTGACTGTTAAGTATCGGTATAGATGAGAAAAAAAATATAAGGTATATCATGCTTATCAACATATGTCTACGGCCATACCTAGGCGAAAACACCAGTTCCCGTCCGATCACTGCAGTTAAGTGAAAACGTCTGATGGCCTCGTTTGTACTATGTTAGGAGACAACATGGGAATCCGGGGTGCTGTAGGCTTTTTTTTCCTCTCTTCACTTTTTTAACGCTTCTCTGACCGTTTATATGGAAGTCGCAGCATCTACTAATTTACAGAAACCTGCTCCAATCCATTGTTTATGTTTTTCATTTAACGAAAAGAAACGCAATTAGCAAAAGCATTATAAGGATGTTTCAGATTGTCGATACAGTGTCAAATCTCATAGATAGTGGGGTACAGCAAATACGTACTAACTATCATTTTGCAAAGCCTCGTCACATCTCACAAAACGGAAGAAATGACTTTTCCCATCTCATCGTCACATTCTCTTTCTGTACAAAACAAACCTCAATTGGAGCAAGAAAAGTCCAATCTATAAAACAAGAAGAATCAAGAAAATCTCAGAAGTAATCGCAAGTAAAAGAGAGCTCTACCTAATGGTAAAATAAGGGAAAAACTGCTAAACACAGAGTCATGAGATTTCATGTTCATTTATGAGTGAAAAGCGAGAATGGACGAACGAAGCTTGGAAAAATGACAATAACGTAGGAAAAATGGAACCCAACGACACCAATTTCTCTGAATACGACAATTCGAGGAAAAGCTCGCTTCAATTGGATTTGCCAAGTTACTCAGAAGTTTGTTATAACAGTGGAGATGATTTGGAGAAAGGTTTGTTTACACCTATTCCTCCTTCCTACGAACAACTTCAAATGAGTAGTAGAGTCGAATCCGATAGTAATCAAAATCATGCGAATGCAGTGCATGAACGCATGGCAGAACCCGTGCCAGACAGATCATGGGGAAGCTGTATCCTCGATTGCATCTGCATGCCGGTACGTCCCCGACTAGCACCAGCGGGCACATTGAAAGAAGCAGGATATTTTCGATGTTTTATGTGTTATCTTTATACGGCTGCTTTTATTTTCTATTTACTTTTCAAATATTCTGATAAATTGTCAGAGTTTATAAAGGATTCATCTTTGTCTAAGGAAATTGCTTTACCTTTGCTTGGTGGATTGATTTTAGTTTTATTTTTTATTTCCGCTGTAATAATTTCTCGTAAGTGATTTGCATTCATCGGAAAAGCAAATTGAAGTACGTTAAATTTCTTGCTAACTTGAGTGTTTAGTTGTGTTGGACATCATCGTTTGGTGTATATCTATGGTTCCAGATTTGGCTGTATTTCTAGGGCGTTTCTTAGGAAGAACATTTCCATACTTGTGGAGAAAATTTATACTGCCTTTGACGATTATTTTCGGTTATACAACTAATCAAAGCTTTGGGATTGATTCAGATTCAACAAATACCGTTGAACTTGACGAGCTAGAAGCTAGTGTTGAAACTCCAACAACTACACATAACAATGTTGAAGTGCCAAGTTCTCCTCTTGGGAAAAGCCCTACCAAAGCAAACCGTTCAAAAAAGTCTGTTGGGCATTCTGCAAGAGAGCAAGAAATAGAGATGCAAACTTTTGGAGACACAGGTTCTCCGAGTTTGAACGATCATACAAAGTAATGTTTTTATGCTATGCCCATTTTATTGAATGGTTGTTATTGTCAGCGTGTCAGTGTCCAGTTGAAATTGAGATGTCTTACGAGGAGATTATGTTTATATTCAAAAGCATGCGTATTTTGTTTCCGTAGAGACTCGGGATTGTTAGCTAGCCTGGCCCTTATTAGCTACTCACTTTCCTGTTGTTTTTGGTGAGTATTTACAGTCATCTCTGCTTCCTCCTTTTTGATTAAAGTTGTTTAAAATATCAATACAACATATTATTTTCTATAAGCTTTGACCGCAAGGTGAAATTTCAGTTTATGATGGTGAGTTTGTCCAAAAGTAACACAATAACCAAGGTTTCTGTTGAAACTGCAAAATCATGAATCTGTTTACTTTTCATTTGAAGAATTAATTTAAAAGTTCTAAAAAGTCTATATGCTGCTTTTTCCCCTGCACTTTACGCTACGAAAAAGAGTTTCGATTGGAACAGTAAAAACTGAATCTGCCAATTGACATGCAACCTATGAGATTAACGGTTCACGAGAAATAAACCTATCAGAATCAAGAAATAAAAAAAAAGTCTGTGATGAGAGAACAAAAGATGATGACCATTTCAAAAACACCGTATACCAATCATGAATACGGAATATTGATATGAGATATAGGAATTATGATGACTGCCAGGTCTTTGACAAATAAAACAGATTGCGTAATCTATATCAAAATACCTATATAAGCTGTTTGTCTACAGTCAGAATCTTCAGATTGGAAGATTCGACTAGTGTGGATAATGAGCATCATCTACACAAACTTTCATTTAGTTTACCAGATCCTGGACGTTATAGCTCCTAAATATGTAATACAACCAAGTGCAATTCAAAAAACGATACAACTAGAGTTCTTTATTACACTCGATAAATACTCTCATATAACCTGTGATTTCTACCGTGTGTCTGCCTGTCTGTCACGATAGGTGTCTTGTTTATATTATATATATTACAATACCCTATCATAAGAGCATATTGCTAAATATTAGCAAATGTAATAAGACTAAAGGATGAAACATTACAAATGGTAAACAAAACAAAGAAAATACGATTTCAACAAATCGGAAAGCCTTTCGGAACGGAAGTCTTATAGACAAAGAAAGTTTTGTATACAAAGAGATAGATTACGTTAGTTGTTTCAGCGAAGATATATAAACTATGAATCCACAGTCGAATTCTTCAGATTGGAAAATTCGACTGGTCCGGCTAAATAAGATCGTATTCCTACTTTAAATTTAGTTAACCAGATCCCTGGACATATTACTATTACTCTACGTAGTACTAACACGTCCAATTCCAATAGACAATTTTGTAATTGTACTTATTACTTCCACTCGATTTACACTCTCATAACGTGTGAGATTTCTCCCGTGACACATATGGTATCTGCTGATATTTCGACAATATTCTGCTATTACACTTACTGTAATCTTTTAATGTTAACAAATGAACTATCGTGACAGTTGACATCACTTTCGTTATTTCTTTTTTTACCACAGTGTTTTAGATTGCCAGTGGGCGAATATAGAAGAATGTAAGGAAAACACCCGCTCATGCATGCATAGAGAAAATTATGAGACTTCGTAAAAATCCCTGTTCCTCATTGATTGTTGGGTGCCTGCACATATGAATTAACGCTGTAAGTTTTGTTGAGTACGAAATAACGAGAGGGAAGAGAACCGAAGATGGATTGACTTTGCATTTATACTCTATGATTTCTGATTTCAAACTCAAAAAGATACAGCTTTACCTTTGCTCCATAACTGGTACCCAACATTTGTTAAATTACCCTCAACATGAAATGGATTACCTATGATAAAGCGTATTCCAAAATCCTGTGAAATTGGTCCCTTGACCAGTTGGTTTAAAGAACATGGATAGGTAAGATAGTCATATAATATTAGTAGAACTAACTAATGAATATAAATCAAGTTATGGTTTTGTGAGGAACGTACTTAATGTGAAACGTACACACACGAATAAAAAACAAACGACTTCTTAGACGATGTGAAAGAGTAGCGTTATCTATGGACTCAATTATGCATATGCTTCTTTTAAAATTATTGACTATAGTTGGAGATGAAAATTCCTTCGTGCTTTTCATCGTGCGTGAACTTATGTTACTAAAGCTGTTATTCCGTTTCTGGGTCTGGATTCAAACAGCCAAGGGCAGATCTAATGTAAATTTGATCCTGTCTCTTTAAATGAAGTTATTGAAATTTAGTATTTTTACTTCTTGACAGAAAGTACTGCTGCCAATTGTGGAGCTATTTAAGTCTTCAAAACTAGAAAATAAAAGATAATTTATTCAAAAAATTCTCAAAAGGTTAATGGTAATTAAAGCATTGTAATTAAGGGTTATTAGAAAAGTCACGATGTATGAACAAAGTGAGTGGAATCAAAATAGAAAAAGTAAAGTAAAAGTTTCATAAAACTTAAGCAATGACACTAAAAACGTTGTTAGCATCTGACTCATAGAATCCTTCATATCGAAAAGATAGAATCGTCTTACCACATTGCAGGAGGTTTGGGTTGGTACCAATAAGCACCGCTAGTAGTGACAGTGGGCTTGGAAGGAGCGTTATTGGCAAGAGAAGAAGAGTTGGAAGTGGCGGGAGTGTTGTTCAAAGCGTCCATATTGATAATTCGAGATAAAAAAGCGAAGTGTTATAATCGATCAAAAAGCAAAAGCAAATGATTAAGATTGGAAATCAAGCTTTGGATGTCGTATTATTCTTCAAATTGACCGATATTTATACCTTTTACTGGTGTTTCCGAGTGAACCGATCTAACGCTCTCTTTGTTTAAGATCCCATTGTTCTAAACGAAATTTTCCATTGTTTAAATGGATTGCCGATTTGATTCAAAATCAAGGGTACAACAAAACAGTGGAGACATGAAGAATAATCAAGCGTTTATCAAAGCGATAATAATAATTCGAGATCCGTTGCGGGGATGTTTGTCTTTGAGTTGCAACCGGCACTTTGCAAGAACAATAGGTGAATGAATATAAGAATACGACGTATGGAGATGGAAAAGTAGATAGAAATTAAAGAGAATAATAAAATAAGTACATTCAGTAACGACTCCTCATTCGCATCTTTTCATGCTGATAACAAATAAAAACAAAGGCCTTTGTTTCTATCTGAATGGGCGGGGGAAACTTCATGGATAAAACTGCGTTTAAAGAAGTAAGTGTGGCCTTGATAATTTATAATGAATGAAAAGGATTGATTTACTTTATGCTTCAACAGAATATATAGTCGTTCCTTTGAATATACAATTTTATTCATCTGTTTCGGTGACAATTCCAATCCCCTATACTCGTTATAACGATACAGCTCCAAGGATTGTTCATTAGTACTGTCTCAATCTACAGTTTCAATGACTACCCCGTAAGTACTTAATTTAAAAATCCAAGATTTATTTTATTATAAGTATACGTTCTTGCTGTCATGATGTTTATTCTTTGTGCTTTTTGCCAGAAGCATATTAGGTCAGAATTGACAACACAAAATATTTTGTCATTGTGCATAACAGGGATTATTGTTTAGGTACATATTTAAACTTAAATAGGTCTGACTGACTATCTTGCGAATGTTGACAAGATAATGCTTTCGAAAGGACAAACAAACCTTCCTAAAAATGTATCTGTTTGATTCAGCCCTTGCTTGTACAATTTCTGAATTTGGATGCAGGTATAATTGAGATTTTGAATTTACTTACTCAGAGTAAATTAAAAGTACTATCTTTAACTGCACAGGTAACCCTCAGCGTAACCTTTTATAATGTAATAATTGATAACATTGTCGATGTTTCTATGGCCAAACTTAGGCGAAAACACTAGTTCCCGTCCGATCACTGCAATAAAGTGAAAACGTCTGAGGGCCTCGTTAGTACTATGTTTCGAGACAACATGGGAATCCGGGGTGCTGTAGGCTTCTTTTTGTTCTATTTTCTCTTTAACACAAATTTGTATTTAATTATATTTCGCTATTGCTTACATTTGTTTTATACCTAACGGTTCGGCTGAAATCGTAAATACAAGTCACACTTTTTTGACAACATCGAAAGGAGACAATATATATTAGTCGGTAGCTTGGCTATACAGGTAGGTTTAAAAACAAATGTATGGAAACAGTAAGAGAGAGAGAGAGAGAGAGAAAGGTATAGATAATAGCTCTGCAACCTACCCCAAATAAATTGAAATGGTACACACTAAGCAAGTAAGCTAAGAATGAACGGTTTATAATTACCAACCAGTAATCCAAAAATACCACCCACCAATAAAACCATCAAATGAACACAGTACTAAAGATTACATTGCAAAAGCATGCAAATAATAAAGAACCACAGAGACTGAACAATTTAAATTTTAGACTTCATAGCATCACGGTGCTAACGGATATAAACAATAATGAAATGAGTAACTTTTTATTAAACCACTATGCTATATTAAAAAGCCATTATGCCATTATAAATTCTCATTAGAATACAATCATATCATCATAAACTCTATACCACTAGCCCTTCAGCTTAATTGATGGCGATTTGTTTCTTAGAGCGGGACTGCTCAATCTTGGGCAAAACAATACTCAAAATGCCATTGGAAAATTGGGCTTCAATACGGTCGGAATCGATCCTGCTGGGGATGGAGATAGTTCGGGAGAAGGATCCAAAGCGACGTTCAGACCATCTGTGGTTTCCACGATCTCCTTCACTTTTACGTTCATTCACGGATTTACCAGAAACGGTAAGTTTTCCTTCGTCGTAATGAACTTGAACGTCTTCCTTTTTGACACCAGGAAGTTCTACATCAACAGCAACCGTGTCTTTGTCTTCATGGACATCAATGGCAGGTGACAAATCAACAGCACGATTCTGGCGTTGAACGCGAGGGGAATAACTCAAAAAGTCAGAAAGACCGTCTTGAAATGGATATAAATCGAAGAAAGGTTGAAGAGACATTGTAAAAAACACTCGTTTATTTCACGCAACAATCAAAATAAAAATTACTCTTGTCCTTTTTTGTCGATGTTGTTGAATCGTTTCTACTTGACTCCCATTTATACCTAAACTACAGAAAATAACAAACATTCTATAAGAGTCTTAGTACTTTCTAGATATGACGACATGCCACCATTGGCTTCTTCCAGAGATTTCGACATGTTCGTTCCAGTTCCTGGTTTCTCTTACTCATCCTTTTTTTTCTTAATTCTTTTTAAATTATTTACTTTTTAATCTTGTTTTTTCGATTTTGTTTTCATGAATGCTCCGCTCCGATTGTACCTTGTTAAACTCGCCGTTCTAGATATCTCTAGAAACTGACATCACATATCAAAAATTCCTCTTTTGTACGATAGAAGGAACGAACGTTTTCGCATATTCCCACTTTATTTGTACGACGTTACCTTCTTTTCCATTTGTCCGTTGCAAACAGTGTGGTAAGCAAGGCAGCTGTCTCTTTCAATCATATTGCAATCTGATTCTCAAATTATGCATTTTTCGTCTTGTATTTTATTTTAAAATTATTAGATCGTATCCAGCAATCTTGAATCTTGCAGTCTGACGATTTCGACTGTGGATATACCGAAATACTGGGCGTAGAGAATGTCTCTCTAAAACCAAACTTAATTTTTGGGAAAAGAGAAGAACTGATGTTAATAAGACCGAAAAAAGAATCCGTGATTTCACCGAAGTACAACTCTGACGGAAAAGCGAAAAAACGAAATAAACAATCCTTCTTTGAACAAGAACTCCTTTATATTTTCTTTGCAGTATGTAATGACAAGTACAATTGAGTTGTGAAGAATCAATCTACGAAACAAACACATTGTATATTACCCAGCATCCTCCGTTGAGTTCCACGAAGGACCAAGGTTGAGCAAAAGGAAGCTAAATCTGAATTTCAACACCAACGTATGGAACAAACTCCATAGATGCCTGCAGACGAACTTGTAAACGTCTACGGCCACACCTAGGCGAAAACACCAGTTCCGGTTCAATCACTGCAGTTAAGTGAACACGTCTGATGGCCTCGTTCGTACTATGGTTGGAGACAACATGGGAATCCAAGGTACTGTAGGCTTTTCCTAGTTTTTGCCTTTTTTATATAAAAGCATCGCCTGGCTGTCATTTTGATCGGCATGGTCCTTTGACTTAATGATACTAGTGATTGCAAGGAAGCAAAAGCCATCCATGATTCAGTAATTAATTAAATTCCTTATTAGTTAGAAATGAAAAGATTTTATAAGGATCAGTAAATTAAAAACTGCTTGACGAATAAATATAAGAAACAAAATGCAAAGATGAAACATAAACATAAGCATAAGCATGCTGGAGAAAAACAACAAGAACGGACATCCTAATAAACAATGCTTTACTTTCCGTATAAATCAACTCCCACCGCTTTCAACATCCCTAGACTGATCCGGTTCCTGGCGTAACCCTGGAGATTGCTCAGTATGTTCAGAGGAAGGTTGTTTGAACGTATCATTACTACAATCGCTGAGCTGGTTTTCAGGTTCTGCTGGCATAGTGTTTAACGGGATACAGTATCAGTCGTCAAGTCGTTTCTTTCCGACGGCATCCTGAAGCCTAGAGCATTAGTAATTGCAAATGCAACTGGGGGGGATTTCAAAAAAAGCAAAGTCCGATCCTGTTTGAATATCATTCAAACTGATTAGCACTGTTCTTTCTAACGCTGGTTCTATGTTTACATTCTGTAATAAACGACGACTCTTTTGGATTATACTATTACGAAAAATCGCAATGAGGACTGTGACCAGTCAGTGACATAATGTCGCAGCTTTATGAATTGAGACATGCGAAAAGCCACTACAAAGATTTTTTCAGAATCGTATCTTTGGTTTTAAAGAAACATTTGTGTTGCAAAACAAAGTTTGCTTTTAAGCAAGATCCAATTCCTTTTTTTTCCTGACAGATTTTTTGACAGATCCTTGAGAAGTGGAACCAGTTTCTACGGACTTTTCTTGGTGATTCTAGTTGATTTCGTTTAGAGTGTAAAAGTCAGTATCATTAAAGGGATCTAATTGCCATTGTAAATATGAAAAACAAGTACTCTCCTATTTCAGATTCTGATGACTCTTCCAAAACGCTCAATGATGAAAAGGCAGATAGTCGGTCGTCTCCTTCAGATGGTACGCCTCCTCCGTATACAGGTAAGATTAGTTGAAATAGAAAGGAAAGGTTGATTTTCTGCTTGCTTTTCGGTTCTTGATGGAAGAATCATGCTTGTTTATTTAATTGTTGGGTTTGAAATCAATAACCTTGTTGATAACTGTCAGCAAACACCTCTATCCTTTTGTAACAACGAATTATTACTAATACATTCATCAGCTTCAAACAAATTTATAGATCTAGAAATGGCTCCTGAAACAGAAGAAAGTTCTAAAAAGAAAAGATATCTGACGCCTCGTGAATTAGCAATTGTTTTTGCTATTTTTATTGTATATAATGTATGCTTAATTATTGCGAGGGTCATTCTTCTTGTTTACGAAATTCCGTTTAATCAGCTTGCCGTTTGGGTACTTTTTGGCGTTTGGTGCGCTCTATTTCTGTCATTGACAATTGGTAAGAAACTAATTTCAGGATTTTTAATGACTCACTAACTATTAGTAGTAACTCAAATGCCTAAAGAATGGTTCACGCAAGCTGGAAGAGCAACCAAAAAGGTTCTTAAGAAATCTGGAAGAGCAACAAAGAAAGTGGCACCAGCTGTGTGTAAAGCCCTAATTATACTGATAAGTTTGAATGGAGTCGGTGGTTGCGTTTTAAAATTATCAGGAGGATTTGAATATATACATTCAGCTGCGGTGTCGGTTGTTTTGGCAGTACTGAACATATGCTTCTTTGTACTTCTCATTCGTAAGGTTCTATTTTCTATCAACTGTTCTAACTTGTTCAGATAACCCAGATGCAATTGAAGACCATGTGCCTACACGTCTATTAAGTACATTTGGTATTGTTAATTTAGGATTTTTCATTAACCTTTCAGAATAGAATTAGCAGGAATGGTCCACCTCGTAACGAAGAGATCGAACTTCAACCTCTTGCTGAGCAAAGGGCTAATGTTTGAGCTTTTGATTTTTATTTATGATCTTAATAAGAATGCTTTACTTCTTTGTAGTTTGCCACTTCTTTTGGAGCATCCGTGTACATTGCTGTCCATCAAGTGCATTCGAGTTCACAAACGCAAGGATCAGACGGGTCCAGCAAAGTTTTATTGCTTTTCTCATTCACTCTTTCATGAATCTTTTTAATTCGTCTCGCAATATCGTTGTTTACGTATTGTTCATTTTCTTCGTGAGTAGAATCGAACACCCTTTTTAATGATTATTTACATATTTTGACGAAAATTTCCATTGCAATAAACTATTGTTTAGCTCAACACAGTGTCGTGTAATTGCACGTCTTTCATAAACGGTAGTCAAGGCCGAAATATTGCGATGTAATCATACAGAAGAGTGTTTGCTTCAAAACGTAAACAAGAAAGTCCTTAATGGAACACACTGAATTACTAGTAATCTTACAGACAGGAACAAACGTCTACGGCCGCACCTAGGCAAAAACACCAGACCAGTTCCCGTTCGATGACTGCAGTAAAGCATCTGAGGGTCTCGTTAGTTTCGTGCTATGGTTGGAGACAACATGGAAATCCGGGATGCTGTAGGCTTTTTCGACTTTTAACGTTCCTTTTTCTTTCTTTTCCAAAATTTTCTTTTAGGTCCGTCAGGTTGAACCAAAAGGGCCTGCTAGCGTTGATGAATAAGTGACGCTTCTGTTTAACTAGACCATAATCCTGGTAAAATCCCCGACTAAAAGGAAAAAGAAATATGTTTCTTTCTTTCCTTTATATAATATATATTTATTAAAGCCATCCCATTCTTAAGGAGATGGTCTCGATAGCTAGTATGCAAGACGTTCCTCACTCCCAACCGTTCTAGCTTTTGATCAAAATACCAGTTTTATCAATGATTACAACGACTGGACAAAGGTATTGATAGCGCGAATTGCAATCTGAGCAATCTTGTCACCGTCACCAGCATCGGGGTCAAACGAACTCACCGTAAGTGATTTGGGGGTATACCTCTTGGGTATCAAGTTCATGCAGACGATCAATTCAGATTCAAATAAACCACCAAAAGATGGGTAATTGTTAACTTTTCCGCGTGACTCTTCCAAGACATCCAAATCGATATGAACCAGAGCCGGACTGTATGACCGCCGTTCAAGTTGGGTAATGAGCTCGCGGACGAAATCCACTTTTTTTGAGGTATCACCTCAAATATTTTTTTTGCCAGCACCAATTACACGTTTCGCTGAACCCTGGATTGATCGCGTAGACCACAATATAGGAACGGAGATAGTCAAATGGCTCAAATACCGGCACACTTTTCATTAACGTCTTCCAACTTTCACCTTTGAGTATGGACAAATCCATGGATTAACATAGCCGTTCTCGTGGACATCAGGAGGGTCAAGATCGTTATGAGCATCATAGTAAATGAACGCTAAATCCTTGATTTTCAGCGCACACGCGACAGCAGAGATAGCTATCCAGTTGCCAAACATAATAAGGGGAAACGTATCCTTGGTGACGGCTCGGTAACTGCAAGCGATGTACGACGCATAATCTCAAAACTGCGGCCGATTTCACCCTCAAAGTCATCCACGCGATTAATTTCCTTCAACTCAATCTTGGCACCCAGTCGTTCTAGTTTTTTCACTAATCCCAGCGATCGAATTCCGTTCGGACCATTGCCCACACGGTGATCACCAAGGCCAACATAATAGGGAGAAAAGATAATGGCAATGGTACAGGCGGACATTATAAGTTTGATATTTATTTATTTATTTTTTTGGAAACAATCATTTTGGTAATTATAAGCTTTAACCATAATGAAAACACCCCAATTCTTTTCTTTACTTTTATATCTTTGTTAATGGTCTAAACTTTTGTTATCAGAACACAACCAACTGTTTTCTGATTCAACCAGTCTAAAATTTTGCAACTTATTGTAGACTTGCATCTACTCTTTGCAAAGAATGTATAAAAAGAAAAAGAAATCCCCATTCGTAAAAATCCAAGGACATCATCAATACTACAGATTTAAATCGCTAATTATTCTGGTTCATTACTCGCAATATTCATGTCTTTTTGCCTTTTTACGTTGGTGAACCATGCTGAGCTTGACTGTCATTCAACCTTGTTTCTTTATATTTACGGACAGTTGTTGTCTCTGCATTTTTACCATCCTGTTCATCGGACATTTGGGTTATAGGATAATAGGATAATACAAGTTGGGAATTACAGAATAAGCAATCATTTGTCATTTGGATGGACTAAAAACGCTGGGATTTGAGTGAGAAAACCTTGCTAGGTCATAAAGTTCCTTTATAGCTCCAGTTGATGGATCATCTGAATACAACTTTTCACCCAAAAAAATACGTATTGAATACCCCTGCTTGCAATTCTCCCCCTTTGAACAGTAAATTTCTCTTTTCCTCAAAAGGTAAATTGAAAAACTCCATCGCTGACTTGAAAGACTCCTTCCATCTGTTCTATATCAAATCCATGGTTTTTCACCATGAAAAATCCCCATTCTATACATGCATTGACTACATCCTTACTGAGAAGATTTGTATTTTGTTCAGACAAATCTGTCAAGGGTAAATGTAACGATTCCACTTGGCATAGATTTAGTTATTCATGTAATGAGAGTCCAAAAAAATGAGAGAATTCTTAAGGTGAGCAGACGTAGAATTCTTTGTTGTTGTATGGCAAAAGTCAATAAAACAGTAGTAGTAAGTTCTTTTTACATTCGATACCACTTTTACTCACGAAAAGCCACTAAACTTATGTAGTATCGTTCGTCATATATGTACTTATCTCGCTTGTCACTAGGCATTTGCATTTGGTAAACGAAAAATTATTTTTTATACGACCGGGGCATCATTCGTTTCACCCTTGGCATCCGAATTTAACAACACTTACTATTAAGCTCAGAAGTCTCGTTCTTACTAGTAAACATCCCTCCATATTAAAAGGTTGGATGTATCTGGCTAACGAAATAGAATTAACGAGACGGAATACAACACAAAGATCATGTTTAGTATACATTGCTAGCTACATTTATAGACATAAAGGCATGATTCTCTCGCGATATGCATTTTTTCTATAGTGTAGTACTCCGTATAATAAGAGGAGGACGGAAATCCAATTATGATGACACTGTTACTGATATAGTGACATACGATAATGTCTAATACCACTTTTTACCTTGGCGATTTTCTTTCTTCCTCGTATCAACCAAACCTGCATTGAAAGGCCAACAAGAAGCTTTCCTTGTTTAAAGTCTGTCAATTTCAACCAAAAAGGAACACTAGCATTGATGAATAATTAGGAGAGCGTCATAGTAACTAACCAAACTTTTTCATTCATTTATTCTTTCTCTTTCTATCTCTTTCTTTCTACTACTATTTTGAAGGTGTGTCGTATAGCGTAACAAAAAAATCCTACTGTTGGAATTATTAACTTTGCAAAATGATTGCGTAAGTCTTTAGAACTTGAATATTAGATTTAATCAATTCAGCTGACATTTTGCAGTCCAGAGAAGAAGTTTTTTGATTTAACAAGGGTCACGGGACATATTCCTGAAAAGGATGTTGAGACAATATTCGACAAGCTCAAACCAGTCTCACCGTCGTTCATGATTGGTGAGTGGACTGGTGGAGACTTTGACACCGGCCATATTGGCCATAAATACCTTGAAGATATGCGCTGGGCTGGCAAGGCATTTCGGTCTGTTGATGATGGTGACCCTATCCTTATTTATAATGACAAGGGTCATCGGGTGTGGAACAAGGACTGGGGTCACGCCTCTGTAAGTTCAATCTTTTTATTATTAGTAGTCATCAAACTAATGTGTTATTACATTGTAGCTACGGGAAATGATATTTCGCGATGTGACCTCAACATCAATGATTTATGACGAAAAGCCAATTTTTGACCATTTTCGTTTTATAACAGACGACATGGTTGCTGGAGCAATGGAATCACCTAAAATGTTTGGTACGGAAAGTACGTATTATTTTTATTTAACTCGCTTGAAATAAAAAAATGGCCAATGCGACGGTGGGGCCCAGGCCCACAACCATTAAAATATCCGTATTGATGCACCTTTGCTTTCCTTTGATTGCTTTCAAAAATTTCTTTTTTGAGTCTCGCAGGAAGTGTTGTTAAAATCCTCTCTATCTTTACTCTGTAGTTTTTGTCGCCATAATTCACGCAAATGTGGATAGTCAACCACGATCTTTGCTGCAGTCTCTTGTCTCTCCAACCTCACTTGTGCAATGCTTGCTGAATCTATTCAAGTTTGGTGTGTGTAACGCCAGCCAGGATTGACCAGTGCGAAGCTAAGCCAGGAGATACGCTCGGTTCCCCTCCATTACCAAGTCGTTGAAAGATCCAAGCGTTACATTGAAACTTTTTAAGGGAATCTATATATTCAATAAAGCTTTCATAAGAATTGTTCTCTACAAAATACACCTAGGCGACGACAACACCAGTTCCCGTCCAATCAGTGCAGTAAGTCAAAACGTCTGAGGGTCTCGTTAGTACTATGGTTGGAGACAACATGGGAATCCGTGGTGCTGTAGGCTTTTTCTTTTTGCGTTTCTCTTGTTTTGTCTGATAAGTTTTTAGCTGATTCCTATTCATCATAATTAAGCTTCTTATCGCCATACTATCTCACTTGTACAAAAAAACATACCTCTGCAACTTTATTAAAAAAAAAAAAAAAAAAAACAAAGAATGAAAAAATAAATTAAATGAATGTGGTAACGTAGCACCAAGAATTTCTCTTTCATTCATTAGGGTGAAATAGACGGGATTTCTGGGAGGAGATATCCTATATTACGATTCCCGCGTACATCCAGGGTGGGAATGGTCCTGTTTGGTACGTAGTAAAGTAAGGGGCTGTGCCAAAATAGCTTCTGCATACCCTCAAGCGAAACTAGCATATGGGAGTAACGATGATGTAGGCTTAATTGAAGAGGAAGCTTCCAAGGTCGATATTGTCTTTCATTCTGCTGCTAGTGATGAATATGTGCCATCGGCAAGAGCAATCGTGCGAGGCTTGAGTCATCGCCAAGCCAAGAATCCTGCCTATTTTATTCATACTTCTGGTGCATTGGCTCTCGCTACAGACTTTATTCACCGGAATGGAGAGTGTTTTGACACGATTTACGACGATTAGGATCATGTAGAGGAGTTGACCTCACTTCCAGATCATCCATCGCAAGGTAGATAAAGTTGCCATTGTCGCTCCGGCTGTCATCTATGGCATAGGTCGGGGACCGGATAAGAAGAACTCGTTTCCCCTATTTGAGTTATTTTATTTTTCAAACACAAATAGACCTTTGTGGTTGGAAAAGGTGATAACATTTGGCATAATATCCATCTGCAGAATTTAAGCAAGCTCTACGTTCTACTGGCAGAAGCTGCTGTGAATGGTGTTGAACGTGCCACTTGAAACGAAAAAGGGTATTACCTGACAGAAAGTGGTTTTTATGTGAATTGCGACATGCTGCGGTTGGCTGCTGAAATATTGCATAAGAAAGGCTTTATTCCACCGCCAGGTATTGAATACATGACTACAGAGGAAAGCGAAAGGATATCCCAATGACTGAAAATAATAGTGGGTGTAGATTCCAAAGGTGTTGCTATTCGTGGAAGGAAGCTACTAGGCTGGGAACCCAACATGCCAAGCTTTAAAGACGAGCTCGAGAATGCTTTGGATACGAACACACTGCAATTCGACCTCGTCTAGAAGGTTATTAAAACCTTGATATAAATCCATCCTAAATCTACACAATCTGGGCTCCATATTTCTTTCGAGATCGTCTCTACCTA